TAAGCAAAGCCCACGTGTAACAGAACACCACTGCAGAGTCCAACTTCTGGGGTTATCTTGTTTTTCTTTGACACGTGCACTTGAAGCTGTCTATGTAACTACAGCAGTGGTTCTCAACCTGTGAGTCTTGACCCCTTTGACAAGCCTCTAGCTCCAAAACTATTTACATTATGATTCATAACAGCAGCAAAATTACAGTTAAGAAGTAGCAACAAAAACAATTTTATGCTTGGGGGGGGGGTCACCACAACATGAGGAACGGTTAAAAGGGTCGGAGCATTAGGAAGGGGAGGAGAACCGTTGAACTGGAGGATGTGTAGGGCTTATTCACTTACTGACGGTTCTCTCCCCTAGCACCGACTATCCACAAATATATTTTGAGAGTCTCTTTCTGTTGTGTGTCCGAGTCTCCGTCTGTGCCCTTGAGTGCACAGACAGGGGCCAATCTCTCTGGATTTGGGTCTGCATGCTCACAGTTGGGGACTTTCAGACTCAAATAGACGGGTTTGCTTTCAGGCTTCTAACTCGGGTGCAGTGTTCTCTGTGGCATTAGGGAGAAGTCCTGAGACGGCTATTTAGTTGTCCAGAAGCAACACTTGCAGGTATGTCGACTGTCACCAGGGAGCCGTATCCCGGGATCAGATTAACTGGAAGTGCACCCTGTTAGGAACGCCAGTGCACTTCCTAAAACAGCAGAGGTGGGCCTGGGAGTGACTTTGTGGGGGCAGAATCTGGTTTGAAGGTCAAAGCCCTGAACAACCCTGGAGAGGGTCAGAGTCTGGTAAAATGCAGTTCCGTCTCGACAGTGCCACAGGGTCCTGGCAGAGCCTTGCTGACCACAGGATGTGCGGCCATCCACAGATCACATGATTCCGTAGGAAGCCTCCCACGGACTCCACTCAATTGGCTGTTTCCTAGCAACACACCCACCACACTGTCCACAAGCCCAGAGATGGCCAGCAACAGCTCAGTATAGACAAAAACCTGCCACCGGCATCTCATAAGGGGCCTAACAACCTTCTACAAAGGTGGCTCATTCCTGGCACTGCCTGGTGGAGACTTGCAGCGCTGTAAAAGCAATGCTAAGGGCTCTTCTTGTCTGAATACCAGTGTCTCACACGGAGGCTTCTCTGCCTGTCACATTCCCCAGAGCAGACAGCAGGACATCAGAGCCCCGTGTTTGTGTGCGTGTGTGTGTGTGTGTGTGTGTGTGTGTGTGTGTAAGAGCAGCCAATGAGCCATGCAGATGATGTCCCAGTTAACCTAGTCTGTCCTAAATACCACCCCAGGCACCTACATCTATAGAGCAAATGCTCCTGTCTGTTTACATGGTGTGAATGTTAGGCAACACCGTGTAGTGGTTATCTTCTCCAGGGTCACCACTCAAGAGTGACTGTCTGATTCAGGGAGGGAATGGAGGGTAAAGCCAGCCTATAACCGCAGCTAGGTTTATTAACTGGCAGCTGTAGGCCCCAGGTGGGGAGATGTGTGCACACTGGAGGCTACTGTAGCTCAGTCACTGGGGCATCACTGGGTTTGCTCATGCGGCCTCACAGATTATTGTTAGCAGCTCCTCCGACACTGAGCGCCTGAGAGGAACACTCAGGTGCACTAAGAACAGTATTCCCCCCACCCACTCCTAGAAACTCATCCTAACTCCTCAACCCACCATTTTTTGCCCCCCCCCCATTTTTTTCTGGTCTGATAGAAATCTACCAGGAAATCCAACCTAAAGTACTGAAGCCTGCAATTCCTGGAGGGTCTCACTGTTGTGTGCTGTCCCCCCTTCCCTCCCTCCCTCCCTCCCTCCCTCCCTCCCTCCCTCCCTCCCTCCCTCCCATTCTATACTACCCCTTTATTCTATTACACATACTGACTTCTCTCTGTTGTATGCTATTATATCTTAACATTTGTGTTTATGTTTTTGTAATGTGTATGTGTTCATGTGTGTGTGTACACGTGCGTGGGTGTTGGTGATCAAACTCAGGTCCTCTGGAAGAACAGCCGGTGCTCTTAATCCCTGAGCCATCTCTCCAGCTCCCCACCTTAATTTCTGAGACCGAGTCTTGGACTGAATTAGGAGCTCATTAACTGAACAGGTCATGGGGCTTCTGGGGTCTTCCTGTCTCCTTGTTCCCAGCAGTTTTTCAGGTGCGCACTGCCATTCTGGACTTTTTATGTGGGTTCTGAGCTCAAGTTGTGCTTGTGTGTCAGACGTTTCACTGACTGGCCATCTCCCTAGCCCCTCTTTGTAACAGGAATCTTCTTAAAAAAATTCCATTCTATCTTCCGAAAAGTCTGAACTTTCCATTCCTTTTTCTGTCTCTCATGCCCTTGGCACCTCTGTTCTATGCTAGCTAATGACAGGTAACCAGTACCCACAGGGAGAAGGCTCACTGGACAGCAGACAGCACACCTCTGTGAGGCACACCTCTCTGTGTGGCCATGAAGACAGAAGCTGTGGTTTGGCACATTGTGTAGTCCCAATGATCCTTGACTTCCATTTGTGCAAAATGGGCTGTAAACAGCACTTGCAATGGGCATGCATTGCTCATTGGTGAGGACATTTCCTTAAGGCTGGGATGGTATTCATCACTGCACCCATTCTCCCACGGCATCCTTCAAACTGGGTTTTACGCTTATCCTACAATTTCTGACTATTTGTTCTTGAGATGGGATCTCACCATGCAGCTCCAGCTATCCCACTAGAGGCCACAACCATCCAAATGCCGGGATGATAAACACGCACAGCCAAGCCAGTAACTGACCCACCTGTTCGAGAATTTGAAATTCCCCGGTTTCCACCTCTGCACTGGATGTCTCTACATGGAAGACTCCTAATCCCTCATGCATTTATTACTTCACCTGCCTGGACTCTTCATCCTGATGAACAGAGAATCCTGCAGGTAGGAAATGTGCCTTCCTTTCATTGGAGGACACTGGGTTGTAGGGGAGTAAGGACAAGCAGCCTTCACTATCCGCTGTTCTGGCAGGGTGCTTTCTTTGTGCTGTTATGGTGTTTTAATCCATCTCCCTTGTTAATAACAGTCCCCAAATTAGGTGAATTATGAACAAAGATATTTACTTTGGTTCCAGGGTCTGGTACAGTTGAGAGATCAGAATGGTTCATGGGCTTCTTGTCAGCAGAGTCTGAAGTGGCTCAGGCATTCACATGGTGAGAGAAAGGGAACATGCATGCGTGTGTGGATGCATGTCTGTGCATGTGTGTGTGTTTGTTTGTATATGTGTGTGTGCACGATGCACACACTTTGGTCTTTCCCTTTTGTGTGAGCATGTGTGTGCCGTTGTATGTGTGTGCTGGTGTGCATGCATGTCAAGGACAGAGAAGAGTTTCTACTTTCATTCCTTAGAGGACAGTCATATTTTCTTTAAAAACAACTTTTCATTAGATTGCTGGGGGGGGGCATGCATGTTACAGCATGTGTGTAGAGGTCAGAGGACAACTTTAAGAGTCTCTTTCCACCATGTGGGTCCTGGGGATTGAACTCAGGTCATCAAGGTTGACAACAACCTTTCTGGCCCCATCTTGGTTTTTGAGATAGGGTCTCATCTTGGCCTAGAACTGGTTGAGTAGAGAATGCTGGCTGGCTCCAATGTTCCAGGAATCTGGCTGTTTTGGCTTATGCAACACCGGATCACCAGCCCAAGATCTTTTTTTGTTTGTTCGTTTTTGTTTTCTGATATGAGTTTTTGAGGATTGGATTCAGGTCCTCATGCTTACAAGATAAGCCCTTGACTGACTGGGCTGTCACTTGAGCCTCCTCTGTTTCCACAAAGCCACCAGTATTCAGCCACCGAGGCTCTACTCTGACCACCCAATCCCAGTCGCGTCCCAGTAGCCCTTCCACTAAATGACACAGATTAAGCTTTCACCCTCGAAATGGTTGCCAGGGTTAAATGTCAACACGAGCATTCAGATAACACGTGATATTCAAAGCACAGCGCAGACTACGAACATGGCATCCAGATTTATCTATCCAGGCGCCCCCTTTCTCATCACTGTCGGTGGGTTGCAGGTTGGTAGCCCAGATGCTTGGGTTTTGGAGAATAGTGCCTAAAATAAGCAAGGCAGGGCTCCCCAGGGGGAACAAAGGGCTCTCCTGGGCTCAGCACGTGAGCGGAGCTCCCCTGCAGGGGCTGTGGAACTCCATCTGACGCATTTGGGCTTTTTAAATTTTTTTCTTTCTCTCTTGCATACCAAAACATTCATATCATTTTCCAGTTAACTGCAGTCTTACTGTATTGTATTATATTCTTGAAATATTAACAGCACACAGCAGCGAGCATATTTTTGTATGGAATTTTACACAGTCATTCATATTTTCTCACTCATTTCCCTCCGTTGGCCTCATAATAGAATTGAAAGTCTCCTGTTGGCTAAAGGGTTAATGATGCAGCTTTGGGATCCCCCTCCACCTCTCTGGAGGCTTAGCTTGCATAGATGTTTGATTTCTTTATTAGGAAAGACTTCAGGGGGAAGAGGCTAGCCTTTGACTGTGCCTTCTGTGTGCATTCATAATAAAAGCTGGTACATTCATGGCTGCTCCATGATGTAGAAGAACCAGTGAATGAAAGTTTGGGTACAGCTCACCTCCGAGAGAGTGGTCCTGCTTCACCGGGACCTGACCCGACTGGTCTCCAACATCCTTATAAAGCTAATTTCTCGCCTTTCTCTACACAGGCTTGTCTCTTCCTCCCGGCATTTTTGTAACCATTCTGGGTGGTGTTATTTTTTTTTCTTTCTCTCTTTTTTTCCCCCACATTGCTGTTGGATAAAAGATCCCGCCCTTGATTGAAATGGAATCTTCCACTATTGAGCGAGCCTTTGTTGAATGAGTCATCGGCGCAGCCGCTCATTGGCTGAGGCCGCCTGAGCCTAGGGGATTGCCTGGCACCGGCTGCAAGGCCCCGCTCCATTCACAGAAACGCTGGCTCGCTCGCTGGCCCTTTCATTCACACAAACAGCATCTCATTCACTTTCTGTCGTTTTTTTGTCTGCTTCTAATGAAGACCACGGTTTGGGAATGGTGGGGCTGACTTGCTTCAGATTGGAGGGGGACTCTAATCACCATCGAAATCGTCCGTGGGGTGCGCATCTGCTGTTGCTATGCAAGCTAGGGGAAGGGAAAAAAGAGAGTGCGGGGTGGCTGCTGGGCTAGGGCTGCGGCGCGGTTGGAGAGCGGTGGGGACGCGTTTGCTGCGACAGGGCGGGCCTGGCTGCTCAGCGCTCCTTCGTCCTCTGGAGCCGGCCTCACCCGTGCACCCGTCATGGGTGACGCTCCCTAAACTCCGTTCCTGGGGCTCCCAGAAAGCCTGGGAACCTCGCAGCCACCTGAGATCAGCCCTGGGCGTGAGAAGACTCAGGGTGACCTGCTAGTGTGCTAGAAGGCAAAAGCATTCGCTGGCACAGAAGTTACCAGGAAACTTTGACAGCGGTTGACTTCCCTGTGATGCAGGTTATCCATCTTAACGCATGAGGCCACCTGGCAGAGACCACCGAGGAAGGGGTCAGTGGGTCTCAGAATCTTGGACAGACCTTCGGGGAGGCTGTCGATGTCCTGCTCTTCTAAACGCTAGGAAGAAGGCCTGTGTGTGTCATTGCAAGCCTGAGCCTGACTCCCAAGGATGAGGCCGTTCTTCCTGTGGATTTGATGGGCAGTTAGAGCAGCCACATTTTTTTTTTCTGCCTGACTGCAGGGCTGCAAAGCAGCAGCTGAAGGGACATTGACATGGATTGGTGGTGTTACTAAGGCGTGCTTCCAGGGCTTAAACACATTCAGTTGGAATAAAGCTCAGAGCTCAACCCTCTTTTTTTTTCCCCTTTTTCTTTCTTGGCATGGATTTCTGGAGCCTGTTGCCGCTCATCAGAGAAGCACCATTCTTTTTTGGAAGTAGATTTTCAACTTAATCCTGACTGAGAAAGGCTGCTGGCTGCTGTAAATGATCAGGCAAGACCCCCTGAGCTGTACTGAGAAGAAGTTCATGTGCAGATTTGGTTTTTTTCCCGTGTGTTGTCTGAGGAATTGCATCGCCACAGACATTCGCCAGCAGACACTCATGGCTGCTCTGTGGATGTGAACAAGAAAAGCAAACCACAGGAAACCGACGCCTTTTATTTCTTTTTTACATTTTCACCTGATGGTGAAGGGTCCCCTCTTTTCCTTTTTTTGGCTGAAAAATTGTTGCTGCTTCCTAAATCAGGATTCATCAGGATTTGCCTGAAGACTTCTTAAAAAGCCTTCGTCACATTTTAACGCATCGCTCGCTGTCAGACACTTCTGGGGCTCATCCTCATGAGCTTGGCAGGGGAAGAACGAACCCTAGCATGGAATAATGGATTTTGGAAAGTTCAAGAGATCATTTGAAGGAACTGGATTTACCTTTGGCACAAATGCAGGATGGGGCAGGGGTAGGTGAAAAAGCAAAGATTGGAAGGAAATATCTGCGAAGGTAGAAAAAGGAAATTTGAGAACTGATTGGCTGTAGTTGCTGTCAGCGGGTGGATGTCGTTTTCTTCTCTCCCTCTCTCTCTTTTTGCTACAGGAAGTGGTTTGCGGAGCTCACCGAGCCTTTGTTGAGAAGGGTCTCCTCAGAGTGAGTCACGCTTTTGCTGGGAGCAGCCCCGTGCAGCTGGGCGCTCCATCAGCGGCAACTATGACTTTTGCAAGGCAAGCGTTCCACCCCAACCCGTGGTCTCCCGGGCCCGCGCTGCGTGTCCGTTGCTCTGCTGCCTTGTAACGGTGTGAGGGCTCGGTCGTCGGCCTCGGCTGTCCCTCTCCGGAAAGGCTGTCCTGGGACCCCAGCTCCTTGTCCCGCTCCGGGGCCCGCGGCTCGTGTGCTATGCGCGGCAGCCCGCACCGGGGCCGGCACCAGCAGCGCCCGGGCGGATGCGGCGAGCTCACGGAGGGGCATGCTTCCACGCACCAAGTACAACCGCTTCAGGAATGACTCGGTGACATCGGTCGATGACCTTCTCCACAATCTGTCGGTGAAAGGCAGCGGCGGCAAGGTCTCGGAGGCGGCGCCCGCGGCGACCCCCTACCTGGTGTCGGGCGAGGCGCTGCGCAAGGCGCCGGACGATGGGCCCGGCAGCCTGGGCCACCTGCTCCACAAGGTGTCCCACCTGAAACTCTCCAGCTCCGGCCTGCGCGGCCTGTCGTCCGCTGCCCGGGAGCGGGCGGGCGCGCGGCTTTCGGGCAGCTGCAGCGCGCCCAGCCTGGCGGCCCCGGACGGTGGCAGCGCGACCCCCGGGGCTTGCGCCCAGGCCGCCAGCATGAGCGCCACCAGGAAGAGCCGGGCCGGCGACGAGCCGCTGCCCAGGCCCCCGCGGGGCGCTCCTCACCCCAGCGAGCAGGTGTTGGGGCCAGGAGTCACCTATGTGGTCAAGGTGGGTAACCCACACAGCTGGGCGAAGGTCCTGGGCCAGGGTGCGTGGGGGAGTCGGGACGCCTTGGGACAAATGTCCTCTGAAGCCCCAAGGTGCAGGGAACACAGACGACGGTTGGATGTGAGGAAATGCGCCCTCCTTAGCCATCCTCTTGCTTGACAGGGCAAGGAGTGAACTACAAATGTACCTTTTGCTGGTATGTGGGGTAAAGGTTGAACTGTCTGGTCACCTCACATGGGCCTGCTTTCCCCAGAACACTGGTGTTGAGGCATTCTCCTGCCACCTGACTTCACCAGGAGCCCTGCCAGTGTCCCCTCTCACTCTAGGCGTCCATCCTGAGATCATGGTCTGGCCTACCAGAAGTACACTAGTCAGACGTGGCAGCCACCTCCCCCAAGCCCCAATGAGGGATGTACCCCAATGCCACAACTTCTGTGTCCTTCTGTGGCGGCGGGGTGGGCCATATTTCCCCTCCAGAGCAAGAATGCCCAACTTCTGGAGGTCAGGGCAGAGGCAGCCTTGCTTCCTGTAAAAGGGGTTCTAGTGTTTTACCTGGAAAGATACTCTTCGGCCCTGAACTGTCTTGGTTCAAGGAGTAGTTGGGTAATAGTAGTCTTTCCTTCAAATGAGCTAAGAGGGGGATGAGGCTGGGGCTCTTGCTCCCCCGGGCTGGAAAGGAGTTTTTCTTGCAACACAAATAATGTTAATCGTTTTTCAAAAATTCACAATGTAACTGGCAGAATTCCTGCAGTTCACAAGCATGGTGTTTAAGGTACTCAGTACAGCTCAGGTAATCTACCAACCCATTTCCTCCAGTCTGACCAGCTGAAGCAGCCATGGCCATGCTTCTCCCAGGTGAGGGCCAGGAGAGAGCCCAGGGGCTTACCTCAGGTGTGGCTTTTCTGATGAGACAGAAGCTCTCCCCACCACCTGCGTTGACAAACCTGTAGAACAGTCTGGTCTGTAAGCACTAGTTACAGATCCAATTAAAAAAAAAACCCACATGGCGCATCTTCAGGTAAATATGCAGTATCTTGGCAGGTTGGAACCAAATCCCCAAAGGAATGCGTGCTATCTTTGACTGTAGAAAACACATAAAGAGAATGTGGCCACCGGAACCTCCCCCCTCCCTCCAGTCTGCACTTGAATTTGACCTCTCAGCTACTGAACGCAGATCATATTTTAGCATCATGTTTTAGCAAAAGGGACACAGCTCAGCATCAAACATACACATTTGGTTGAGTTTAATCTTTAAAGGGATGAATATTGCTTATTTAAATGATATGTCCAGGGTCCAAAGAGTAAAACCAACGAAGCAAGAAACCAAACAGAAACCAAACCACAGCTACCTGGAGGCTAAACCATGACTAGAACATATTTGTTATCTCTGTTAGCTTCATAATTGCATCTTATGCTTCTGTTTGTGAAGCATTTAAGACAAGCACGTGGAGCTGGGCAAAGCTGCTGGTGTGTGCTAGGAAGAACCCAGAGGCTGTTTTCAAAATGAGGGGCAATTCTCAAACTCACGCTTTGAAAGAACCACTTTGCTTGACATCGGCTGTATCTGTTCCCAAGGAGCGGGCCATTGAGTCTGAAATTTGAATATTCAGCCAGACAAATTAAAATGGTATTTTAGGTAGAAAAACCACTTTACCTAAGGTCTGGGCCAAATGAGGAACATAGGAAGATAGTGGTTTAGCCCAGACTCCTTCTGTGGGGACAGGTCTGAGTTGTCTCAGAGCCAGGGGCAGTGCATTGAGGGTCAGAAAGCTGCTTGGGCCTACTCTGAGGCTACCTGTGTCCCCAAGGGAGAGGACACAGCAGTGCCCCAGGGATCCTGGCACATGGAGGTGCATGGTACCAGTCATTAGTGGTCTGTACTGGCCTCTATTGTCCCTGTTGTTTAGCATCTGTAAACAGTGGTGTCATGTGAACGTAAGCCCAGAGATGGTCCCTGCACCCCTGCAGGAGTCTGAGTTCACACAGAAAGAAACCCAGACATTAAAGGAAAAATGCAATCCTGTGTGCATGTCGCCTTCAGCTGACCGAATGGCCCTCTGTGGGCACACGCGAGCAGACTCCCCACACTGGCATGCTGAATTTTAAAATGACTTGTTTTATTGAATTTAGTGTTACTGAGGAGTGAAGGGTTCTTCTGATGCTTTTAAAAGCCTGCATTTTATAACAGGAATTCAGTTCTAAAATCTGAAGGCTTGTAGTTTGCAAAGCTCCTTAATTCCATCTGATAAAATTCTGTTTTCCAAGTTCAAGGCAGTCCCAGATGCTTTCCAGCTCTCTGGAAGATTTCTACACGGCATCATCACAGGTTTTCTGCAAGAAGTACCTAGGGGTAGGTGGTCACGGGATGCTGTAGGCTGCAGTGATAAGACTCAGATGCTTCAGCTACAGGACAGGGGTACTGTACACACCGCAGCCTGACGGGTGTTGGCTGTTGACACAACATCAAAGCATTTCTTCGGCAGCTGCTGACATTTCCAGTGAAGGATGGAAAAATGAAACTGAGAAAGTTCTCGACCAGCGGAATTCCAAGCTAACAGCACATTTAACCTGTATTTTCAACTACCCCTGCCTGCTGTTAGTTTACCCTCCTTTTTAAAAAAAAAAAAAGTTTTTTTTTTTCCTTTCTTGAGATAGGGTCTTAGTATACCAGCCTAGATTTGAACTTTTTATATAGTCAATGATGACCTTAAACTTCTGACCCTCCTACCTAATTCTGTGTGGAAGTTGCAGGTGTGTATAGCCCTCTCAAGTTCATGGAGATCACCTGGGGCTGGGGATCAAACTTGGGGCTTCCAGCATCTTAGGTAAGCACTCTGTCTACTTAGTCACAGCCTCCGAGCCTGCTGTTAAATAAGGGCAGAGGCTTATGTACTCAGGAGGGCTCAGGTTTAGACTAGTGACAGCCGGGCCTCACTGGCAACACTGTAGCCCGCGAAGTAGCCCAGGCACTTGACCAATTGTGGTAGCATAAAAGAGAAAGAACAAGAAACCATACTTCAGACAGACATAGCAGAACATCCTAACAGCAAAGAACCATGAATAGTGTCATTACATGTCTGTCTAAAGTTTGCTTTCTGTTTGTTTGGATGTGACGGTCTGTAACACGCTGGGGATGAAGGAGGGTTGCTCGGCAGTGGTTCACCTGTGTGTGGTGTGACTGCCCTGTGGATGGCTCAGGCTGCTCCTCCTTCTCCTCCCTGGTTCTAGGGAGACTTTAGGAAGGAAAGTCAGTCTGAGCCTGGCCCTGAAGAACCTCTGAGGACACGCAGGCCTCAGGTCCGGTTTTGGAACTGCTTGGCAGAAGCTGAGACTACAGTTGTTGGGTGTGAGACTGTGGTGTGCCCCAGGCCAGCCTTCCACTCCAGTGTGGTCCTCACATGAAGGGCTGTTTAGAATGCAGACTTTAAAAGGCCAAGAGGGGTTGATATACTGAGCAGTGAACACATTTAGTGCAGGCTCAAGTGCCAACGGTCAAAATAAGACAATCCAAATGATGAACTAAGGCTCAAGGCTCCTGTGCAGAGCTGGGCATGCCGTGATTGCCACTCAGGGAGCTGGCAGCTTAGGCTATTCATAGGTCCTGCTGATAGCTGTATTTCAGCTTGTGAGTATTACCCTTTTACTGGAATGAAGATGACGACCTTCCTGGAAATTTCTTCCCCCAGTATTGGACATTGAACCCAGGGCCCAACACATGCTCAGCTAGAGTTCTACCATGGAATCCCCAGGGCTAGAGGAGGCTTTACCAACCGAGAAGGAGTTGTTATTCCCTGGTATTTGGGACTGGTTTTCTTCTGGAAAAAGGACTTGTTTTTTTTTATTTTATAAACCCTTTTAAAACAATTTTATTTCTCTGATTAATGAATCTGATGACATCTGGGGTGTGTGAGCCATCTGCTTTATTCATTAATCTTCTATTTATCTTTATGGATATTTTTATAAACTAATTTTATCCTGAAATTTGTTCTTAAATTTTGATTGGACTCATCTATAAAGACGTCCTTTCTTCCAGCTCCTCTTTAGTAACTGTGACTGAAGTTCATAGCAAACAGTCACTACAAGTCCATTTTAGTGTGTCCATGATGCCTTAGGCAGTGGAATAAATCGAATTTTGTTTTAGTTCTAGATGAGTTGAACTTTAAAAGTTGTTTTCCCTTAAAGTCTCTTAATAACCTTGTAATGTATAGCTTGCACGAAAACATTGCCTAAAACATTCGAACGATATCTTTAGAAATTCTCATGGCATTACTGGTTGATTTCATCTGGAAAATGTGTCCTCTCTCGTGTGATGTAAGGGTCGATGTGTAAACTGAACACACCCTACCACACATCCATATCTTACACCCCACTGCACAGATATATACACATGCCATACACCACACAGATCACATACGTATATACTTTACATCCTACACACACACATACACACACACACTACATAGATATATACTCATACCACACATGCTCATACACACAACACCACACATACAGAGTTCAACCCCACGCCCCATGTAATTACAAACATGCACATTATTATAACCAATTACCATGTACACGCATACACACCACATACCATATGTAAAACACCTGTACATCTTACATACACAATGCACAGATGTACACAGATGCCACATACCACACACATACCACTTTATGTCCACATATCTCCATTTTCTCATACACTGCAGAGCTATACATACATGCCACGAGTACACATCACACACACCATGTTCCATAATACTCTCACAACACATTGCAGAGACATACACACACTTCACTACACACATATATACACCACATACATAAATACACATCTCACACACCACACACACCATATAAATATACACACATGTCATGCACTACATACAGGCTCATATCTCACTTCACTATGCCACGCCCCTCCCATTGAATAAATATATACATGCTGCACATTACACAATACACACATAGCACATATCATACACACACTGCATATACAC